ATGAAATGTAGACCAGAAGGTAAATCGAGAGTTTTGTGGCTCAGCTCCATCTTCACCACAATGGTCCAGTGCAACGCCTTCTTTATTCCTGAAGCTGCACCAATCCGTTTGTCCATCTCACAGTTCATTTTTCTACTACTGAGCAAGATACTGAGATAATTAAATGCTGTTGCTTGGGGCAGTGTCTTACCTCCAACCCAGAGGGAGCAATCGAGTAGTTTCCAGCAGAGAACCGTGACCTCAGACTTGGAGGTGCTGACTCTCATCCCGGCTGTAAACCAACCCAGTGCAAAGTGAAGGTCACAATCTGATGAGACGGCTAAGTCAGACGTGACTCTGAGGCTCTTCAACCAGACGGCCTCTTTACCCTAGCTGCATCTTAAAATCCAGTCCATGAACATCAGAAACATGATCCAACGCCCACTGGAAGCATGTTTGACTCTTTGCAGAGAATACAAACACAAATCTGTTTATATTTTCAAAGTGTTATTTGAATTAATCGGTGAATTAAACGACTAAGTTAAATAATAAAAGCGTCATTTGGAGCTTTTTTTTTTCTCCAACAGAAAACACTGTAAACTGACTTAAGACTTACTGTCCAGCACTGAATGAAATACACACAAAGTTATAAAGAGGAAAGTGGAGCTATTAGCAGCTTTAGAGGCAGATATTTTTAACAGGAGCTGATGGAGACCAACCAGAGTGAAAAGAGAATAAATACTGTAATTAAACTGATGGTTGATCAAAAGCCTCAAATGACTGTTCGTGTTGCTTTTATACATAAATAGGAAATTGTTTGCAAATGCTCGACATGGTGATAGTACAGACGGGCTATAATTACCATCTACAGTTAGTGTTACTAGCTAATTGTGTGGGACACACGGTGGGAGACCAAAACTGTAATTTACATCCATTGTTGTGTTCTGAAAAGGTCCAATTATGTGGGTCAAGCAGCAGCAGCAGCTTATAAAACACCTTAAGCCAGTGAAAAGTGCATTAACTTTGTGGATAGGCCAGAATGTGATCGATTTTTTAGGCATGAATTTTAAGTTGATAGAGGAATTTGATGTACTGAAGATGTCTGGATCCACGGTGAAGGGAATGCACTGTAAAATTCATGCAGCAAACTCCACCAAGAAAAAGATTCAGTGTACTGGGAGTCATAAACGACTGAAGGTTATGCTGTGCATCATACATATTTAGACATGTTTCCTCAAAGGACTTACTGTAGAGAGAGAGAGGAATGACACAAGAAGCCGCCAACAAAGTGAAGCACATTGAGTATTCAGGTGTTCTGCTGTCTGGATCACAGCAGTGTGTCTCACTGGACAGAAAACTTGCACAGTGGCTTTACTGTTTAATCTGTAATTTTCTTCTTCGAAATTCAGACAGAATTGAAGGTATCGTATTTGGCCCTACGCACTTCAGAAACACTATCTAACCAGATAGTTACTCTGGATGACATTGCCTTGGCTTCTAGTTCTACTGCGAGGAACCTTGGAGTTATTTTCAACCATATGTCCTTCAACACAGAGGATGGCCTCCTTACACCTACGTAATATCGTCAGAATCAGGAATATTCTGTCTCAGAGCGATGCTCAAAAACTAGTCCATACATTTGTACCTTCTGGGCTGGATTACTGTAATTCCCTGTTATCGGGATGTCCCAATAATTCTCTTAAAAACCTCCAGCTGATACAAAATGCTGCAGCCAGAGTTCTGACAGGAACCAGTAACAGAGATCATATTTCTAACTTCTCTACATTGGCTCCCTGAAAAATCCAGGATAGAATTTAAAGTCCTGCTTCTCGCATATAAAACTCCTGACGACCAAGCTCCATCTTATCCTAAAGACCTTACTGCACCGTATCATCCTAACAGAGCACTTTGCTCTCAGACTGCAGGTTTACTTGTGGTTCCCAGAGTTTCCAAAATAAATGGGAAGAAGAGCCTTCAGTTATCAGACTCTGGTGTGGATTTGGCTCCCAGTTTAGGGCAGACATCCTCTCTAATTTAAGATTAGGTTTAACACTTTTCCTTTTCGAAAAGCGTATAGTTAGATATGCTACTTCTTTATTTATGCTGCTGTGGCTTTCGGCTGCTGGGTGACTTCCCATGATGCACCTCTACTGTACTATCCTCTCCTTCACTTTCATACATTTATAAGCAATCATTGCATGTCACTAACTTTGAGTCTTCTCTCTCCTGTGGTTTGTGCTCTGTTCTCCCTGCAGGTATCTCTGACTCTGAAACCTCACCAACCTTTTTTTTTTTATTTTATTTATTGTCGTCTTATATATTGTTTCTCTTTTTCTTGCTACTCTTCTGTTCTCCAACCTTCACCCTAACCAGTCGATGCAGATATCCGCCCTCCCTGAACCTGGCTCTAACGAAGGTATGTTCCTGTAAAAAGTTAGTTTTAATCCCACTGTTGCTAAACAGCTTGGTCAAAGGGAATCACCTCTTTCTAATATAATGTTGTAAGGCCCTGACATGACGAATGCATAGAAGTGATGCTATTTAAAAAGAAAAAAAGAATTGAACTTCTCATCCACATGTGCTTTTCCTCCCAGCAAATCACCTGTAAATGTCCAGCTCTTTAGTAAGCTGGACTTCCTTCTGACCTCTTGTTGCCCACTTTTGCTCTTTAATTCACAAGAAAATGTGATTTCAGCTCACACATGCAGTGTTACGGGCCACATACCTGCATGCAACCTAAACACAGCGGCAGTGAGAACCTGTGAGAACCTGCCACAACAGAGGAATGCGACCAGAGCTGGAGCCAAGAGGAAAGCTTTTCATTCAGAGCCCTTCAGCCTCCCACACAAACAAACAGCTCGGTGGAATGTATTTGCATGTCACTGACAGAATACCCACCGTGGACACACACACAAACACACACACACACACACACACACACACACACAGTTTATGTCTGATTGCTAATTGATCTGGCTCTTTTCCAGGCCTTTAAAATGAAAAGCTGACAGTCTGGATCAATACGACCCCTTCGCTTGCTCGCTATTAGCGAGCTGCAGGTTTCGTGTGTTGAAACTTCCAGCAGTAACTGTATTTTTCTGTGCGTCTCAGTGGAAAAGTTGACCTGGAGAGAATTTCTTTGTGTTTCTTCTCTCTCATGATGCAACAGTTGCTTTCTGCAGATGCTCGCCGTCCCGCCGAGGCTCGACTCGACACGAAGAAGTGGAGGAACGGTGGGAAAAGCTGCTGCCAAAGAATGTCAACTAGTAAACAACGTCAGGAGTTAGTGCTGCGTTTGAGGTCAGAAACATAAATGTGCCCATCCATCTGCTGGCGCTCCACAGACAGAAGGGACTCCAGCTCATCACCCAGGAGCCGAGCAAACAATGTCAGGAGTTACGATTACGCTGAGCGCTGCCTGCAGCTCATTTCCCTCCGTGAATCCTTTCTGCTGAGCGGCCCAATAAGACGTTTCACAAATCAAGCCAAACTCTTCCTAATGTGCAGTAAATTAGCACATCGCTTTTCACCTCTGCAAAATGAAATGCTGCTGGTTTCTGAAGCACTGGAATTAAAAACGAACCGAGAGCCAGCATCATTAGCAAACAAAAGTCATTTACATTTTAATTTGACAGAAGTGTTGATTTGCAGTTAATGAGAAGTGAGGACAATAAAAACAGACATCAAGTCACTGCTGTTAAATACATGATTTATGTGCACCGTTTTGAATTAAAAACTAAGCTTTTTCATTCGGAGTGACAGTACAGTAGCTGCCGAAGGCATCAGAGTTTTCTACATATCAAAGCAGCCTTTACTCACAGAGCTTCTCTCCTCTTGACATTATCAGTAAGAGCTGGATTCTTGGTGTGTTAAAGCGTCTCTGCTATCTTTTAGTATCAACAAAACAGATTTTCTTCTACAGTGTCGAAGGATTACAAAGCGTAAATCATTGTTCACAGTGTAAAATGGAAAACGTCTCAGTGTGTTGATGAGATAAAGAACAGAAACCTTGAAATAACTGCTGGCTGAGCGTTTCTGAACCTGTAACCCAAAGTGATGCAGCCATCAGAGCGTCACACTGCTTCATCCTGGGATTCTTTCAAAAAGCCAACATTTATTTTCTTCAGTCATCTGAAGGCACGAGGAGAAACCAGGCCGAGTCCAGACAGATCTGACCAGAGGCAGAATAATGACCTGCTGCAGGTCTGAAGCAGGTCTGAACACTGTGAGAGCTGCCTGCTGCGATGACAAACAGCAGCCGACGTGGTGTTTGTGACACCATTTGATTGATTCTCAATATGGACGCAGAGATTTTCTAGAAGTACTCATGGCACATATTTTCTCAATGAATTTGTCAGTTTTTTCCGGCAAATATGATTCAGAAAGATTTATAAATTGTCTCCCCGTAAATGAAGATTGAAGCAGTGAACAGCATCATCGTGTCTGATTATTCTGGAGAGAAACACTTCAACATCCTGGGAAATGTGCTGACTCGAGTTCTTGCTGGGATTAAAATGAAAAGATGAGCTCTCGAATCTGCTTTTTAAACATGAAGCCCCAGCCAGCTGCTCACTCTAAACACTGGAATCGGGAGAACAGCTTGTCAGGTTATAAAATCCACCTACCAGCACCTCTCAGACTCTCTAATTAACACATCATGTCTCACTTGTTTAGCCCAAAACTATTCAAACCCAGAGCAAAATTTGATTCATAATGATTCTTCATTTGACCATCAGTTTTTTTTTTTGGGCTGGAAATGACATAAACATGCAACAAAGGACACCAAGACATTTTACTGGAGATGTTAATGATGAATTTTAACTATTTTCAGTGTTTATTTGCCATTACAGCATCCAAATGGTTGTTATGATTTCTAACGAGCTCTGTGCACGTCTCCACTGGGATTCTGGACCACTCTTCTTACATCTCTACATCTTGGAGGGATGGAAAACTCCTTTGCCATCACTCTGGTTTTAGTTTCTGAGCCTAATTTATAGTGTTTAAGAACACTATAAATTAAATTAGTAAACATATCTAAATATCATCTTAACATGTCTTGTCTCAGCATCTTTTGTCAATTGTTTGTCATTTCCAGCCAGAATAAACTTTATCGGTCGATTAACAACTCACTATAAATCAGATTTTGCCATGCGTATGAAAAATTTGTGGCTGAACGCCAGAATATTTCTTGCTGAGGGACAGTGACAGTCTTTATGCTCCGTTAGGCAAACCAGCCTCCTGAAACCTTCACTATGTTTTGCTCGGTTTTTAGATTGGTCTGTTTATCCTGAACCAGCCGGCCTTGCTCTGTCCAAAGGTAACAAAATGCCACCTTATTAGCACAGCACAAACTAAATGTACAGGACAGAACCAGTCTACTGTAGCTGTGTCCTCCTGCTGCGGTCATTATCCTGCATACTCTCCACCTTATAGGAGCACCGGCGCAATCTAATGCAATCAGATACAACAACTGTGTAATAAATTGTACTTTCGTGAAACTTAAAACTTTTTGTTTGCATTGTCGGAAGAATTCTGCAACGTTTGTGTGTTCGTAGCAGGTGGTGGTGCTAAACTGGACTGTCTGTCCATCTCATTAACATACATGAAGGAGGGAAAGCATCAGGAGAAAAATGCCGGAATCTGTGATATATATTTCTATAAACATGTAGTGTATGGCGGAGCTGTTGTACTGGATTGCATTAGACTGCACAGATACGTCTCAGCAAGAAAACATCATATTTCCCTACAAGTTCCAACCATTGCTTTAAATTATCTGGTTAAAATGTGTTTCCCAAAAGGTTCTGAATATCTGGTTTGGTTCTGGTTCTAGTCAGGATAATTTAAACATCCTTTAATTGTTGCCATCAAACTTCATGCAGTATTTAACACAACACTGTCAAATCCTGATACACCTGAACCAGCAGTCGCTCACCGCAGCAACGGAACACGGTGACATGTAGAGTTTAAATGAGCTCTGAGGGAATCCCTGCAGCTCCTGTTTAAATGATGAATGCTGACGCTGCTAACCAGACATCTCAGGGGACCCTAATAAAGACAAATGCACAGAGTTTTTCCCACAGTCTGTCGAATGTTTGCTGGAAGAAAAATGACGAGTGAAATTCAGAATGTCCTTTCAGAGCCAGTGGTAAATAAATTATGTGATGGGTAAATGGAAGGCAGTGTGCCATTAGATTCTGATTGAATTAAAAGACAACTCATGTGAACCTGCTACACGAGGCCGGTCCTCCCAACCAGGACATTAATGCCCAACCTGCTCTGTCCACATCTATATTTATATATATCATCCTTGTGTTCTTCCGTGGTTCTTCAGTCAACATGTCAGTCCATGCAGCCCTTACAGGTTCCATTACCCCCGAAAATCTGTCACTCAAAGCTCAACGCGTCTCGACTGCTTCCTCCATTGTTTCGTCAAAATAGAGTCAGAGACCCCAAAAATGGTCTATTTCCAGAAAGAGGCTACATTCACTCAGCTTGGGTTTCCAACTGACGGAGTTTGAGGTGTTTTGCTGCATGCGGCTCCGGACAGGAGGAGGAACAAGGTGGATTAGGAGGGGTGAGACGTCCCTTTAGAAGCTGTCAGGCCACCAGACCAAGGCGGGAGATCTTAGCAGAGAGGAAGGAGTGCAGGATGAACACGATGGGCTTCGGACACGAGTGCAGGTCCAGCTGCTGGGGGAGGAAGAGAAAGGACAGAATTAAAAAGCAGAATAATATCAGGAAGAAAGAGAACAGAGAGATAAAGAGGATCAGAAAGGAAAAGAAAGACGGTTTGAAAATCACATAAATATATATTTGAAACTAACTCCAGAGTCAACAGATCCCCATTTGGCAGGGATCAGACTGCGCACTGAGCACACACCAGCAGCAGATCACTAAAACGCTGCTCTGTTCACAGCCTGAATCAACAGCAGCGATTTCACCGCTATGACTCACATCCTGCTCTGAGGCCTACAGGGAGGTTTAACCTATAAATCCACACTTCAGCTACTGTTCAGTCGCTCACATTGAACACTGAGAAAGACTCAGAAGCTACGTCACCTCCAGCAAACTGTGAAACATAGGCAGAGTCACACCTCATGACTGAGCCACAATACAGTTTCTTTAAGAGTGACAAAGTCTGGCGAGCTGTTAAGCCCAAAATTATTCATCGATTTTCATTTACTGTGAATTTTTTATTCAACCTGTCTTTTTTTTCTGGCCGGATATGACATAGATAAGATAACCCTAACCCTAAAAAAAAAAACAAAAAAACAAAAAAAGTCCAAAATTAGTCATGAAACCACAAAAACAATGAACTAAATGCAGTTTCAATACAATTTCAAATAGTTTCTACTATGTTTTACCTGTAAAAAACAAAACAAAACAGCTTATACAGTAGTTCTCGTCAACTGCAAGTCCTGGCTAAAACCACAGAGCTTAGTGAGCTTGACATTAGGATCCATCACTGGGAGAGAATTATATTTTATTTCACAAGACATTTAAAGGCTCTGAAGTCATATCCAAGTGTCTTCAAGGTCCAGTGGTCACAGTACAAAGCAAAAATCAAAAAGTACAAGGAGTTCCACATTGTGAAAACTCTGAAAAGGCTGGTAGGAAGAAAAAAGTCACTCCTGCACTGGTAAGAAAAAGCAGTGTGAGAAGTCAAGGAGAATCAAAGGATCAGCACCAGGAACATTCTGATGAATCTGAGCAGCTCATCTCCAGACAGACACTGAACAAAGCTGATCTCCATGTACACAGACCAAGAAAGAAAATCTCATCAGTTCTGTCACTGGATGAAACAAAAATAAAAGGTGCCTGGACACAGAGACGTGGCTTTTGTTTAGAGAAATAAAGAAGAAACATTCAAAGAACATCGTCGTTATGGTCAAACATGGTGGGAATGTGATGCTTTTTCAGCTGATGGACCAGACAGCCTGGTCCAAGTAGACATCATCGTGAGAAAAGAAGACGACACAAAGATTCTGAAGGCAAACATCAGACAGTCTGCAGAAAAACTTCACTTTGGGCAGCATTGGACCCTCTAACAAGACGATCAACTGAAACATGCAGCCAAAGTCGTCAAGAAATGGTTAAAAGAAAACATGATTTTAAAGCAGCCTAGTCTGAGTCCAGACCTGAATCCCGTCAGGAATCTGAAGGAGGGAGGAAACTGAGGACCAGAGCGATGAAGGGGAAGCCTTCGACCTCACAGACCTCGAGTGGAACAAAATCCCAGAGGAGACATGCAGAAAGGCTGTCAGAAGAACCGTCTGACTGATGTGATGACAAATAAAGACGTCGACACAAGGCAGTGGTATGAATAATTTTGGACATGGAATTTCCACAAAAAATGTAAAAGGGAAAAAAGAAACCTATTCGTCAAATAAAAATTCCCTATAAATCCGAGCTTGGCACTGGTATGAATAATTTGAGGCTTAACTGTACATTGTTCCTGCCAAGCTGACAGTAAAGTCAATACTGTGGAATAAAAAGCAGACCAGCTGATTCCACTTTCAAACGTTGAGCTAATGAGCCACCAGCAGCCTCCTCCGGTGTCCTGGGATTTCGCTAAAGCCTCGTCTATAACCGAGCTGGGATTCAGAAACGCTACAAACAACGAAATCTGTTGCGCAAACGAAGCCAACAGAGGAGTTTTAGAGTCAAAGCTCCAAAAGTCTTTGGTTATTTGCCTTCAGCGTAAACGGAGGAATAAAACATGAGTGAATCTGCCAGAAGTTTTACACGGAGCTGCATGTGTGCTGTCGGAACAGATTATAGGAAACACCTCAGTTTACAATTTCTAAACTTTTTAAGCCTGCACACTTAATATGATGGTTTTCACAGTTGCTTTTTTTTTTTTTAGCGAGCAGTAAATCACAGTTTTATGGTTTTTATGACAGAAGAAACAGCATTTTTTTTTTCTCTCCCTGGGACAAACAGTCCATAAGGGCTGAGAGAAGGTAATAAATGAGCTGCCGGAGCTCGTTCTCACATTAATATTCATATCAGCGTCGTCAAATAAAATCCTAAACGCTCTCAGGACAGTGACGGAGGTGTTGGGTTATATTAGAGGTGCTGTTTGCACTTTCCAGGTATGAACATGGATCGGTTCTGATTACTGTGAGGCCGCCGGACCCGAGCGCCGTAAACAGATTAAAACTCTTACAGTAAGTGACGGGTTATTTTTAAAGAAAAAAAAAAACACTCCCAGCCTGTTAGACCTGCGAGTGTGAAGTTTATTTCATTTCAGGCTTTCTTCTGTGATGAAGTGCTGTAATTTACTCTGGGCTCTACCACTCTCCCTCTTCCTGTCTCACACTGCAGTTTGCGTTTCGCTTCATTTCCCAGAAGGCCCTGTGAAATCCCCTGAGAACGGCTATGAACTTGTTCTATTTACCATGTGCTGTTCATGACCACAGAAGACTTAGTTTGATATTGAATATAGGTTTTTTTTCAGTATGAACAGAAAAGCACAAGAACATTTGAACAGTTTATTTTAGAAGGTTACTGACTGTGATTAAAGATGACAGCTTCCTATTCCTAATTTGAATTAGTGCACCTTTAGAACGTTGGGAACGTTGGGATCTGTTCAAGCGAGACACATCTTGTTGTCCTGATAGTGAAATAGGTCATCACTACCTTCTGACACAAATCTGAGGAAACTATCAAAGCGTGCAGAATAAATAATCATCAGACCATATGAGCAGCAATGTGAGGAAGCACAACACTATAAATGGAACAAAAAACAATAGATTTAAGGTGAGAGTAATCCAATGTTAGTTTTCTGTCTTAGGATATTATTATTGAAGCTGCAAAATCACTTCATATGATTACACACGTTGTAATTATTAACCATTATGTGATAGTTGATTTCCACAGTCTTGTGTAGCATTTGTTGAATGCACAACTGCATTCTGGTTGACTGAAGCCAACAGTTTTTCTTTTTGGCTGCTCTCGTTCATCTTTGAATTTATTTTAGTGATTATTTTTTGCTTCTTTTTGAGTTTTCTTTTGGTTTTCTGTATTTGATTGTTAAGTTTTTTGACCGTTGCACAGTCCTGTCTAGGTATAGATTCAAATCATATTCATCATATTCAAATCAATGTTAGGTTAATACACTGACAAATCAATTTCCATAACTTTTGCACAGCTATGTGCAAAACTTTATTATTTTTACATTTGTCGCTTCAGGCCAAAGTTGGTTAAAAAGAAAAAAGAAGACTCTTACTTAGACAGAGGTACAAATATTTTACCACAACTGTCCATATTTGTGTTCAGTCTGTGTTTTTTCTGTGATTTTTTTCTGGTCACATATTAAAGTTTTCTCATTTGTAGCCTTAGGCGTTGGGTGAAAAATAAAAAAATAAAGGAGACTCTCTACTTAAAGTTCCCAATAAACAGAAAACAGAACTATTTACACTTTAATCAAAGCTGTCATCTTATATGTTCATTGTTCTTTGTGTTTGAACAAGTGAGCATGAAAGTAGTTTGTTCATGTACAAAAATACACTGAACACAACCATCCTGACGCATTGTTTACTCCCTGAAGGTTGCTTATGTGTTGAAGTAGATTTCTAAATGTTTGTGGTGCAGCACAGATCAGTACTTTACACAGCTCATTCACCAAAACACTGTTTGCATAGTCAGCATTAGATAAATAAGCACATAAAATATTGAATTATAGCTTTTACTATTTTGGAAAGTGTCCATAAACCCAATGTTTCTGTGATGGATTAGAATTCCCTGGATGGATCATAAGATCAAGTGATGGCTCATTGTAGCAGCTGAAATGTGCTGCAGGACAGGCTTTAAGTCAGCTGCTGCACTAGTTTGTTACACAGATTTTATTATTTATTATTAAGTATGAAGCGAGAACTGCTGCAGTTGTGGACGACTGACGCGACCTCAGAGGTTAAATTGTTGCCTTTAGAAAATGAATATATGTTGTAGCTGAACCAAAAATACAATTTCAAGAAGCTCTTTCTGCACAAAACATTCACGTCCAGTCACTGGTCTGCGGTGGATTTTTCCTTTCAGAAGGAACTGATTTTTCATCCTGTTTACTTTCAGAGCACAGAAGACAACTGAGCTCTTGTCAGAACATGTATTGTGTCAGAACATAATGCTGGAAAAAAAAAGAAGAAAGCACTCACAATCTCCCCCTCCTTCCCGCCAAAGTCGAGCAGGAGCATGCGGACTCCGTCGTCCGAGGACATCTTTAGTTTTTCGAAGGGGTAGGAGAGAAGCACTCGAGGCTTGCTGGGAGTCTGAACCACTCTGGCCTCACCGTCCTCCTCATCGGCAGCCTTTGGGTCAGTCAGCACAGAGAAGCCCTGCTCATAGTGGATCACCAGCCGGCACTCCTGACCTCGGTACAGACAACCTGGAAGATACAGACACAGAAGATGGGGAAGACTTAGAGAGTGTAAGTCTGAATGTGAGATGTTGTCTTGTACATAAATACCAACGTATGTACCATCATGTATATCATGACAGTCTTGAGTTTCCAGTGACTCCTGTGACTCTAAATTTTCTTGATGGAATCATTGAAACACATGAATCTTAGTCAAAACTAAAAACAATCAGTAATTTTTGTCCTTTCATAGATTTATTATACTTCTTCTGTAAATATGACAAACTCTGCTGTTTCAAAAATATAAATACAGCAACCGGGTGATGTAGAAAGTTGTGTTAATCAAATTTCCTCAGTCGCATGGCCTCTTAACTTCTTGTAAGTCATTATTTTTGACTACAGCTGGTGACTCCTCTGAGCCAATACAATAGGGCCTATTTGATACAATCATTCGACCCAACCACAAACACTACAGTCTGAGGAGCTCAACGAAGATCTGAAAGAGCAAATCAGTGACCTAAACAAGACAGGAAGTCACTTGGAGCCATTTCAAAGCAGCTACAGATCCCAATATCCCCAAAAGTTGTGTTACTGCCATGATCAGGAAGAAAACACAAACTATCACCTGCTGCTGAGAGACAACTGGTCAGGATGGAACACAGCTGTCAGTGTCCACAGTGTTTTACATCAACATGAGCTGAGAGGCTGCCATAAAGGAGGAAGCTCTTCCTCTAAAAGCAGCATCTTAAAGTGTGACTGGAGTTTGCTGCTGATCACATGGACAAAGAAATGGCCTTCTGGAGGAAAGTTCTGTGGTCAGATGGAACTAGAATTGAGCTGTTTGACCACAATGACCAGAACTATGTTTGGAGGAGAGAAGGTGAGGCCTTCAACCCCAAGAACACCAAACCTACCTTCAAGATTGTTGGTAGCAGCATTATGCTCTGAGGCTGTTTCAGCGCCAGTGGAGCTGGTGCTTTACACAAAGTAAATGGAACAATGAAGAAGGAGGATTAGTTTCACATCCTTCAGGAAAACCTAAAATCATCAGCCAGAAGGTTGGATCTTGGATGCAGTTGGGTTTTCCAACAAGACAATGAGCCCAAACACACATATAAGTGGTAAAGAAATGGTTCAACCAGGCTGGATTTAAGGCTTTAGACTGGTCTCCCCAAAGTCCTGAATTAAATCCCATTAAGAGCCTGTAGATTGTGATGAAGAATCAAGCCTGTGTCAGAAAGACAAACTTAGTTCACAACTGTAAAAAAAGATAAATGACATTGAGACAGTGTTTTCATGAAGGAAAACCTCAGGTCCCACAACAACAGCACCTAATGCAAATGATGAAGGTTTATGTCATTTATGAAGCAGATTAAACATCTTCAGATGACTGTGAATATTTCAAAGCCCACAAACAGACAGAGAAATATGAACTTATAAAGTTAAATGTCTGGTTGATAAAATAAGGCATTACTGTTTTGATATTCCAGCGACTGACTCTTCTCTTCCAACATCCCGCTAAAAGCTCTGGCTATAATTTCTCTGTTCTACGTTTCCCACCACTTTCTTCCCTGCTCTTTTCTATCTTTCTTCGCAGCAGGAGTCTGGCTGAAAGCTGAGTGTTCTGTCTTTATCAACCCCCCCAATTTAAGTATCACGTCCGTCCGCTTTGTCTCGTCCACACTCAGTGTGATCCAGGTACATTTAGTCTTATTTTCCAGAGTACACTCGCTCCCTTCGGCAGACAGGAGAGCCTCATACTGAAAACTTCATTTGCAGCACAGAGAGCTGCTCTCTCTGGACCACATCTGATCCACGGAGCAGCAGTTTGTCAGACAAAGAGACAGCAAGCGAGAAGACGAGCTGTTGTCTGTTTATTGTTTGCCGACAGCCCGAGTGAGCTGTGAGTGTGAAGAGAAGACAGTAAGTGTTTGCATGTGCACATGACTGTGAGAGTGTGCACTCTGTAATGTAATGGAAAAGAAGTGGATCCTGCCGCTTTGCGAAAGAGAATAGAAGTGCACTTAGGAGTGCATCTGTGAGTGAGCTACAGAATATCACAGCATGTATGTTCTGTGTGTGTGTGTGTGCACTGCCACTACTTCACTCTATTCTGTCCATTCTGTCTACTTAACTTAATTTAATTGTCAGTCAAACCTTGCTAATCGCCCCACACACACCTTGTTTTGGCTCTTTATCTAAAGGCGATTACGAAACCAAAGTTGGCAAATGTGTATACAGTAACACACATGCACACACATCTATGGTCAAAAATCTGGCCTAGTTTACTACAAACAGGATTCTCTGCACATCTTCCAGCAAAACGCAGCTGAATCTGTTCCTTCTCGGCTCCAGGACAGTCAATTTACAAAAGAAGGCAGCTGGAGCAGACAGATTTTTTCACAGCCTTTAATTGTGCAAACAGATTAACCTTTCAACACCACTGTGTCTTCATCGGAGTCAAAGGGGCCAAAGGCACGAAGCAAACAGACGGAGGCTCACTCCAAATCTCCACATTCACAGACTCTGAGGAGCTTTTGCTTCGGGCCGTCAAACTGTCAGGGTTCTGATGCACACTTTTTGATGCAATTAATCGCCCTTTCTGGGTGTGACGTATAAATGTGGGAGTCCTGCCCCTGACAAAATGTACATAAGCCAAGTTCATAGGGCAGAAATCTTCAAGGATCTTCTAGTTGTGGTGGTTAAGAATGACATTTGTTGATGACTTTTCTGACTTTTGGTAGTTTGGTAGTTACCATATTGTAACAAACAGGGAGTGTTGAAGTGATTAAATTGGTTTAGTCATCCTAACCTAAACCTGGTGCACAGTTGTCATTGGATAATTGGTTTTTGAATTTATTTGATCGGAAATCCGCAGGTGGGAGCATCCATAGTCAGAGCCACACCTCTAATCCTGATCCCAATGTCAGTTTTTTTTCCCAGTATTGTGTAACTTTAACCTGGAACACACACACACACACACACACACACACACACACACACACACACACACACACACACACACACACATACACACACACCTCTTCTATCTTCAAGTTACAGACATTAAGGAAGAAAAAGTGCCAGAACAAGCATCCGTCAAAGATGACAAACCAGGAGAAACATGACAAATCAAGCAACTCATTCTGCCAGAGGGCAAACATCATGTCAGCAACAAAATAAAGTCACAAGGATAAAAATACAAAAGTACAGCCGTTAATATCTGCCAGGTGTGACAACTTAGTGGAAACACAACAAAATCAGTTTTTCATTTCTGCCAAAGGGCTCCGCTGTGTTTAAAGGGCGGATCTCTGAGGAGCAGCGAGTTGATGAAGCCTCCACCTCCAGGAGAAGGAACTTTAGTGCTGCTGCAGAGCCGTGGTTCGTCTGTACATGTCAGGTATCCATGCTTCATATATGTATTACAGTTACTTGTGCTCGGTTGTGCTAGTCTTTAACGCTCGTTTTGTTTCTCCTACACACACAAAACCACTGAAACATTTCAACACAGAGGCAACACGTGCGCTGCCGCAGCTGAAGAAGGACTTAATGCAGTACTTTCTGCCAGTATGTAGGCTAACTATGGAAACTCCTCAGATTATCATTCAACAAATCTGAAACCTTGTTCAAACAATTACCCAATGACATGGATGAGGGTGAATATATGTGTTTTGCCTCCCGTCTTTGTCCACTTCGATGAAAACAGTTTTGGAAACGTTCGTCTGTTTGCACAATTAAAGGCTGTGAGTTAATGGATGGGCTCCAGTCCCCGTTGGTACTCTGCTTTAATTCACCTTGCACAGGGTAGCATGTGATTTATACTGCACAACAATATAATCAAGTCGCAGAGATGCATGCTAAATAGAGTTTGATTTGTTCCCTAGAATATTAATGCTCTCCTCTCTTCTCATGATGCTGTTTGCTTTGGTGTCTGGTCCATTTCCTAAAAAAAAAACACCTCCAAAGTATCACACTCTCAAAACCACACCTGACAGCTGGGATGCTGTTCCTTGGATTGAATGCGTCTCTTTTCTTTCACCAAACAAAAGCCAAGTCTGTGTATTTAAACAACTCCATTTCATCCGACCGCAGGCCTGATAACTAAAAGCTTTCTTCTTTGTCTAGGTGAGCTGTTGAACATGACGTTTTAATTGAAACAGAGTAACAATTAAAATTAAAGCCGCAAGCGGCGATGGACGGGTCCTCGCCCTACGCTTGCCGGCCTTTGCGCACGGCGGGGTGTGGGGCAAACCTGCTCTGGGTGGGACTGTGATCCGGCATGTCGAGTTTGGGGCAGATCGGAGCAAGTGTGGCC